GTAACTATAACATTTGTTTTCCTCATCTCTTTAGAGTAAATTCCAGCTTTAACTGTGTTACACAAGATAAATTAAACTTGGATTTTAGGGCATATGTACCGCTGTGGCTGCTCTGGGTATAATAAACCCTGAAACTGAATATGTGGGTAAGAAGGTCTCCAGAAAGCCATGTGGGCACTGACTAAATCAGTTTTGGAAGCTGTATGTCTCTATTTTACAGCTCTGTATCAGAGCTAATATCCCAGCACTTTAAACATACATTAAACTCATACATGTTTCTGAGCATGTGCTGGTAAGTGTTAAGCTGTTCTGTACAGGCTTATCCCTGGAATATCTGAAAAATTCAACAGTACATTAGTTTTCTCCATGTAGACATCTTAAAACTCTTCTTTGGAAATGGAGAATAGGTTCTCCATTTCTCATAACAATCATGGTCCTTTTCAGCATCTAATATAATTTGGATTCACCTTTCCCAAGTTTCAGTAACAACAGAGGACACTGCACACCATTTAAGCACTTGTTACCGTAACATTCAGTTTAAGGAAGGAGTTTCTGTTCTTTTTAGTATTGTATTTCTGAGAAAGGGAGTTAGCCGTATAAAATAGTTTACCTTTGAAAGTTCAATTTACTACACAACTGTGGTAGATTATCCATGTTTCAAAAAAGTAAAGATATTGCAATGACATTTGAAGTAAAAATTACGGTGGGTGGTAAGCTAGGGGTTTTTATATTTTATTTTGGCCTTCACTGATGAGCATATAAGAGGTCTGTCAGACTTCAAATATTAAATTCAAAAGATTACAGAGTTTCATTGCAAATTATTATACCTTAGTTGTCTAATATAGGAAAGAAATAAACAAAAAATTCAGCTTCTGTTGAAAAAAACAGTTTTAATTTCTTCTCTCCAGGATATAAAGTCTTTTCTGACAGGCAGTTTTTATATTTCAACTTTCCTCATGCATATTGTATTTTTTCCATAGATATATGCTGTGCTTGTCTTGTGACTTAAAAGGAGAAGTAATGTTTGGTAAGTAGATCTGAGATGCAAGAATAAAGGGTCAAATTTCAAAACCCCACTTGTTTTAAAGGTTGATCATTTAATAATTAAATGTAAAATTATTAATAAACACAATAATATTTTCCTGAAATGCAAATTATCACTGAACATTAGAACAAATTTTATATCAATGATGCATTTCTAAATAGTTTATTAAGATTGTAAGAGAAGGTCAAAAGCTGTTTAAATTAGTAGTTCATTATTAGAGTCAAAAAGGTTGATCTTAAATGCAGCTTTCGAGCCACAGTAAAATTAGGAAGTATGTGTTTTCTCTCTAAAATCTTTGTAAGATTGGCTACAAAAAATAATTGGTAAGACATAAACAAATGTATAAGACAACTTTTCGTGCATTCTGTAAACTGCTCAGAGCATTTTTTCAATGTAGTTGTTTAAATCATCTAAACGTAGTGTAGTCCAGGGGACTCAGGTTACATATATTTTACAGAAGCAGGGCATATATAGAATTATTAGAAGAAAATCATGTTTGAGGTAACTGCCTAATAGCATAGCAGGTTGAATTTCTTGCTAAATAGAACAGATCTGTTCAGCTCTCCTTTGCTTTACGGTAATGTTGCAGTGTTACTAACTTGTGGTATAGAAACAAATACATAAGATGGCAATAATTTTTTTCTTTCAACCTGTAGATACAAAGAAGCTCAAACATAATAAAAATAAGGTGCCTGATTGTCTTAAGCATGACACCACTGCCTTATGTTGGTTTGCTCTTTCTGGTGCCAATGCTTATGCTGAGACAAAGTCAATACAATTGCTCTGGTGAGGCCCTGTCTACACCAGCTTTTCTACTCACAGAAACTTGCAAACTTCCCATCAAGTGCAGAGGTCTTTAATAATCCCTAAGACATAATAATCGCATATAGTCTTTCTGAGAGAGCCATCCTCTGGGCTATGATTTTGTTACAAGTAAAGAATCGGTGTTGTTCCAGTCAGATGGCTGGCATAATGCTCTGCGTTAAGAATTCTATCAGATGTACACATAGGCTTTTCCACACAAAATACTCTTTGATCTCACATCCAAGAAAGATAAAATGATTGCTAATTCAGCCACGACATTTTAAAGTGCTCGGCGAAACTAGCCATTGCAATGGAGATTCTTCTGTGCAGAGAATAATCATGCGGAAAAAGAAACATAGAGAATCTATTATTATATCTAAACAGTAATAGGTATGCTTAAAAAATGAAACCAGCATTAAGACTTATATGTATTTTCATGGCTAATGAAGGTTAACCAATCAGCTTTCATTATGCATAATAATTTCCTTCTGGAAAAAACATCAACTTTGTTGTTTATCACTTACATGTTTCCTGCTGACTACTGAAAGTGTACTGCATCCATACTGCATTCTTTGAAAATATTTTCTTCAACTAGTTGGCACCAGGAGTGGTTTAGAAGAACCCATAATAGAGGTGTCATTGGCTGCACGTAAAGGAACACATACTAGAAAGGATCAAACAGTTTCCACTTTGGAAACGTTAAAAAAGATGTGGAATGATACAGAGAAGGGCCATGAAAATTATCAGAGGGACGGAGCACCTCTCCTATGAAGACAGTCTGAGAGAGTTGGGGCTGTTCAGATCAGGGAAGTAAAGGTTCTAGGAAGACCTTACAGTGGCTTTTCAGTACCTAAGCAAGGCCTATAAAAAGGCAGGCAAGGGACTTTTTAGCAGGACCTGTTGCAATATGACAAGGCATAATGGTTTTAAACTAAAAGAGGGTTGATTTAGATAAGATAGAAGGAACAAGTTTCTTACAGTGAGAGTGGTGAGATTACTGGACTATGTTGTGCAGAGAGGTGGTGGAACACTTCCCCTTCCTGAAAGTGTTCAAGGTCAGGTTGTACAGGGATCTGAGACACCGGATCCAAACCAATCCAAACTTTTATATGATTCTATGATTTTACAGCTTTTATTTACTAAATGTCAAAATTAGTCAAAGAAATACTGAGACCACTTCACCCCTCGTGAAAGGGAATGAGGTTTAGCTCTTTTATTTTAAAAATATGCAAATTTGGCATGCATTTCAGACACACTAATCTCAAAAGACACTCACATTTTATAGAATCAAAAAAAATATAAAAATCCACAAAGATACTGCTAAGAGATGAATTGGTAAAATATGCCATTTATCCTGCAAAATTGTCACTTGTGACACATTAGTAACATGCAGTGATTGTTGTGTGTTATGAGAATGGTCCGCTAATTAGTTTTGTCATTAAAATTCATTTAAAACAATTTTGTTCTTGATATTTCTTAATTATTCCAATGGCACATTCAGATGACTCCAGATGGCTTGGAGCAGGATAAACTGAGAAACTTCCCTAATAGCAACCTACTCTTATTGTTAATATCATTCATGCAATATCCAGTTTTTCTATATTAATGTCAATATAATTAAGTAATAAAATACAAGAAATTCCTTTGGTGATGTTTTGGGCTTAAAAGAAGTACCTTGAACTGCAAAGATGGGCAGTCAGAAAAATCATCAATATCAAAGTCTGAATAGGGAACAAATTTCTACTGGAAGATTTGGAAATGGGCTTCCAATACATGCAGATGACTTGATTCCTTATTGCTGTATTCATGTTGAAAATTTAAAACTGATATGACCATATTTTTCTTTCAAAAAAAAGTTTTCAACTAACCTGCCCAGCAACAACTGTATTGAAATGTTGAACCAGATTCTATCTTCAAATCTAAAGGTATTTTGCATTAGTTATAACAGTAATTGGGAATCTATCAAAAATCTAAGCCTCTATGAGGCAGAGTGGTCTGGTCACCAACCTTTGATATGCACACAGATGCTTTGGCTGAGGTAACCAACATAAGGTAGATTTACATAAGGTAGATTTAAATTAGTAAGTGCATTGTTAACCCAATTTTCTTTCTTTCAAATCCTTTCACAACTATCATTGTGTTTATACTCTCTTTATCCCAAGGCTGATGGAACTTTTTCAGAGCATGGAGAAACACACTGATTTACTCATTCTTGAAAATGCTTGAAGAGAAGTTGAGCTACAATTTTCTTATCTGTTTTCCACCTGCTTCAAGAAATGAGTCATCTATGTGATGACCTCATTTTATGTCTTCCTCAAAGAAAACAGGAACCTCAAAAGTCATTGTATTTGAAAGCTTTCTGACTGAAGAGTTTCAATGGACCAGCACCATTTTTCACCTGAGCACAGAAAAGGACTTCTGAAAAGGACTGTGATTCTATGACCTCTGCAACAAAGCATCTCAAAAAATGATGAGTTTGGGAGGAGCTTCTAAGAAATTACAGTTTGAGGAAAAAGAGGCAAAGTAAGGAAACACACACACATAAACAACAGGTTGATATCTTTTCCAATCTCATAAGTTATACGTGGTTTGAATATACTGAGAGAAAAGGTAAGAATTATAAAAGAGCTCATTTGCATTAATAGAAGTATAAATAAGGGAAGTTTTAAATACTAATTAAAGTAAGTTTAGTGAAAAATACCAAAGACTGGTAGACATTATAACGAAAGTAGGATATCAGCTCTGGATCTAATATGTTATTAAGATGATATTGCTAATATTGTGACAGTTATTCTAAACTGCACAAATATTTCATGTTCCAGATATTATTTAGTTGTTTAGGCCACAGACTCATTTTTGAAATTTCTTTCAAGAATTTAATGAATTAATTAAAAATACAGTGCAAGTTTTCTGGGGAAAAAAAAAGAAGAATGGAGATAGAAATGGCAGTTCTCAGTAATTTTAATGACCAGAATAAATAAAACTACTGATGAGGAACAAGAGGTATATCAAGTAGAAAAAAAGAGGTTTTGTCTTTTTTATGAAATGGAATTTCTTTAGATCCTATTGGGCAAACCAGAGCTACATTTTCAGAGTTTCAGAATTATAGTAACATCTGTTTCAGTTAAAAAAGAAAGAAGAAGCCCAGGAGGAATCCACAGACAAAGAGTTCTCTTTTCTATTTTCTCTGCTTCAAAACACTCAGGAATTCATCTGAGACCTACAAGATAGGGAAACAGGTATTAAGTCAAATAGTGAATCAGTGGTAGACCATATTCCTCTAAGAAGTTTTAGTTAGTGACCTTTGAGAGAAAGCTTTAGAATAAAATGACTAGACCTTTAAATGAGGTTTATTGTTTATTAGCTGACATCCAGACTTCAGGATGTGATGGCTTTCCTTCCATACAAAGTATGAATCTTATTAAAAAGTCTTAAGCTCAGATACACAGCTACTTATTTCACTATCTCAACCATATTTTTTTCACAAATACTATCTTTTGATATTCTTTTTTCAGCAAGAACTACTGAAACACAAATATTACCTCAGGATTAATAGCAAATTAGATGCAGCACCTGAATTCTGGAGCACAATATCTTACAAGATATTGATGTCAGCAAAGTAACACTGACAAAGTTACTCATTTCAAGTATAATCTAACATTCTGCTACCCTTTCTCCAGCCATCTAGAATCACAAAAAACAGAAGACTTGCTGGGACAATGGAGGATAAAAAATGGCCCCTCATCTGCCTGAAACAGAACATTACACCTAGGAAAGAAGGCCAACAGGGTAACAGGTACTTGAACTAAACATGTGGCAACCCATTGACATTTTCAAAACTGAGCATCTTTACTCAGAAAGCCACTGACTTCTAAGTATATCAAGTCAACTGCAAAACAGAAGATCTACAGCCAGATGAAAAGTCCAGAAATTCATAAAGAGGATAGATTCTGACTTTTGAGGAAAAATAAAAAGTTATAAAATCCATAGAAAATTATCTGGACTTTTTTGCAGCTAGTTCTTTTGAAAACTAAAAATATTATCTGAATCTGATTGTTTTTTTTCTTTTGGTGAGATGGAATGGCACAGTACGAAGAGAGAATTAATGAGGCCTAGTTAACCAACTAAGCCATGCCAACCATTCCTCAGCTTCTGACATGCTCAGTATAAACAAAAATATAAGAAAGGACACAATTAATCAAAGATAATTCTGGCAGTCAGTTGTTAATGTAACTATGCAGGTCAAGGTTTGTTAACCAGTCTCTCTCCCAAAAACTATTACGTCAATAAAGAAAATCAAAGAGGACATTTATCTTTGTTTTTTATGCCTTTTTTCCCTTTTATCTATGTTAAACTTACAAATACTGCAGACTGGAAGAGCTCTACTTAAGCAGCCTGGTGGGGAGATGATCACAAACAAAATAACACTAAGCTCAGGGTTATTTTTAAGGCAGCTTTTGGAAACTACTACCTTGCATTTGCTGCTCTGACTTGTGTTTCCATGGAAGCAGGACTAGACATGGACACAGCCACTAGCAGATGAGGCAATTTCAGCTGCCAGTTTCTGGTTCTCAGTTCTGTTTCCATGACAACCAGTGCTGGAGCCCTGAAAAGGAGGTGAGGTATTTAAAACACTACAGTACTCTTAATAAATATCTGCTTGCTGTGCATGCAAACAGAGACCACTTACATCTCCAGCACAAAAATGCTGCTCAAAATAGCAGTGAAAATACATCTTGATATCAACTACTACTATTTCCCTGGTCAGGTTTCAAGGAGAAAAAATGAGTGGTTTCTGAAAGCTGGTTCCATCCTGACATCCAAGAGGCGGGGATGGTTGTTCTCTTCTTTCAAAATGAAAATAAGGGTAAACAAAGATGCTGTGCTAAATATATGTTATTGTTTCACAAGAAAAACATAATTCCTTTCTATATTTGGTGCCATTTTGCTATAAAAAATGAAACAAAGTCCTCTTGAAAAAAATGACAATATGGCAGATGGTAGACTGAATAACTGAAGATGGTTCTCAGATGGTGCACAGAAATTTTGGGACAGCAACTACCCTTTTCCTGGGTTAAATCTTTCACATTTTTTAACTGGCTACCTACATATTTGATCTCGTGAATAGATATGTGTAGGCATGGGCAACCTTCTTCTGTCTGCAGTCTTTGGAGGAAGGGTAGAGAGCTATCCTGTACCCCTTGCCAGTGGGAACATATTACAGGAGACAGTTGTATACGAATTATAAGCTCCTTCTAATCCAGACTGCAGTGTGAGTCTGTTCCCCTCCCTTGTGCAAGCCACTTGAGCTAGACAGAATTCAAAAGAGGAGGAAAAGCAAAATCTGATAATCTTAATAGGAAGAGAAGCTTTAATATGACACCTCTGAGAGTAAGGAGAGGTGGATTTGGGTGTGTAAATTGCTGTATGAAAGCAGTAATAATACACATTGTGCAGAGGTTGCGTTGTCCCATCTCAGAAAACTGAAAACCCATTCCTGGTGCAACTTACAGGAAAAGGAAAGAAAAGGGCTAATATGTTGAATAAATGTCACCAGTCATACAAGCCTACAGTACTGTAGAAACAACATTGTCTCTACTATTGGCTTATGCCAAGAGAAAATTCCAGAAACTTGGTTTTAGTGAGGAAGCAGAGAATAAGCAGACAGCTAATAAAATTGGAATAAAAAGCCTAAAAGCAAATATTAAAACCAGATTATCAAAAGACAGCACAAAAATTGATACTAGAATTCAGAACAAAGCTGTGCTTGTTCTCCTCTGTCTTCCAGAGGTGCCTAATTATCATAATACAAGGATGACACAGGCTAATGAAGTTTGTCCACGTTTTCTCACATTGTGAAAACTTCAGTTTCAAACTTTCCTGATATAAATCAAACCTACCAGTGACTCTTACAGGATGAAAGCTGATCAGATAGGTCCTCAAATTAATGAACTCATGAAGTCTTTAATTCAATCTTTTATATATATTCACAAAATACACAATACTCTTTTAAGAAACTAATTACATTTTAACAAAGGAGTTTTTGAAGATAATTGTGTGTTCAGTCAAGTCAATGAATGTAGTTTCTTTGTTGGGTAAGTATAAACAGTTGGAAATACATACACAAAATATTATTCAAAGAAATTGACATGTGCAAGAATCCTGGGGTGAAGAATGGACTTCCCTTACTCCTACTCGAGAATTGCTGCTAATGCAGTTATAACTGTCTGGCCATTGCACCTGCCACAGAAGACTGGGACTTCAACAGTAGTAAGAAAACCTACCAAGGATTCTCAAAACTTACCAACTCAAAAACATCAAAGCATTGGAAACATTGCCAATGTTAAGGATGTATTACTTGATTTGTCCAAGAAATAAATCATTCATTGTGTTTTTGCATGTCTGTATAGAGGATCATCCTGCCCGTTGCCAGTCTCTGCATAATCTTTTAGTAGCCATCATACTGTTTGAGTCCCTATGGAGGCTGTCATCCCCTTGAAATATTCCAACAAAATTGAACAAGGATAAGGAAAAAACAGACACTTTTTTTTCCTTATGGTATTTTTAACTTAAGAGAAATAATATTAAAGTCATCAGTCCAAGCTACAATATCTTTCCATCATAGAGACAAAAATTTTGTAATGGTTAAGAAAGAATTATGCAGAGAGAAAAAGTCAAAACAAAGCATTAATTTTTTAAATAATGAGAAAATTACCGGTTAGGAGCCAGGTCCTTAAGTATGACAAGTGTTACAAGTGGGGGTGGTTCACCTGACCCTTAGTGTGGGGAGATTTTCTCAACCCTCAGTGATTTATTTGTCAATGCCCTAGGGAAGCTGAAAGCCTTATGCCTGACCGGTCTAACAGCATCCCAAAAGGGGACTCTTCACTGAACAGATTCACAAGATTGGAGCGTGATTTGACTGCCCTTTCCAGAGGGACTAAGCCAACAGCATGGAGACCCCTCAGTGAGTCTTCCCAATGTGCTATCTGCTGCCAGCAACTGTTAGCACCTATAAAGGACTCACTCTAACCATTTATGGAATAACACTATTGATAGAAATTGTGACAGGCTAATAAGGTTTGTGGGTTGCCAGTGACAGTGTCTGACTGCAAAAATGTGTTTAAAGCAACCTACTATACTATAAAGCAAGCAGAAGCTCTAATCCTAATAGCAGCATCTTACATGTTCCTTTCCCTGCAGGGATTTCTATGGAGGGAGGCTGCGGCATCTCCACTCCACCCTCCGTTCCAGCCCCAGTAGCAGGTGCATATCCTTGTATTGGGAATCTTTGTGGGGTGTGTCTACTGTGTTCCATCCAGGGAGATGCAGATGCATTTTACCCTATATTTTTTAGTCTCTTCTAATTTTTAACCCTAGCCATCTTCCCAGAACAAGATTACAGAGAAGCCAAAATTACATTGATAAGTGCTGTATTAGTGTTAGAAACTGCACCAGAAAAAGCCTGGGCATCCTTGCGTTTGCCATAGAACTTTTACATGTGCAGGAGGGAAATGCATCCACAAGAAAAAGGTCAATGCCTGTATCCTTGAAATAACACTCTCAATCTTGCTTGCAGGCACAAGCAGGCTGAAAACAAGCCATTGCTGAGTATACCAAGGAACGAAAGCAAATGCTACTGGAAATTCAGTGGTGTGGGGTGAAGACAACACTACTTGGCAATGTTGTTTGAGGTTAGTGTAGAGCAAGACTTTACTACAACGCAGAAAGATCTGTGGAACAGGAGGCACAATCCATCACCATGAACAGCTTTACAGCTTTGACAGAAAGCTCCAGGAAACACAGTAATGCACTGACCAGTTTTATAAGCGCAACTAGAAGAAACAGTTCTTACTCTAGTTTTTGCCAGGTCTCAAAACAAGACAGTCAAAAAAGGTTTCCCACATGCTGAACCAGAGATAAGCTGTGTATGACAGTTAGCTAAATTGTTTATATGGGATCAGACAGAAGTCTCAGAAGCCTGAAGTGCTGTATTTATCACATCTGCCTATAGAAGCAGGCCCATGGAGGGCACATGAGGATGAGTCAAGCTTGAAGATAATGTAATGATCAGCACCTGCTCTTAGACACACAGAGGGAAGATTACACAACAAAAATTCCACATTTAACTCATGGTCCGGGTCAGAAGAGAACAGTTTGCTTCTACTTACTTAAGATTATGCTCTTACTTGCAGTTGATTATTTCTTTAACTTCTGAAAGGTACACCATGGGAGACAGATTTAAAGCAGTCGAAGGAATGCGGGCAAGAATTTCTCTCTGCAAAATCAGAAGAGGAAAGTGGTAATAGAGGCGATGTCAACTAATGCCACAGAAAAATTAAATTAAACAGGTAAATTATTCTGTCCATGCTGGATCACTTCAGCACATTTTTCCATGTGCCAGCTAGCAAGGAACACACATGCCAAAGGGCAGGAGAACCATGCTTCACTTCCCCATAAATCCTTTGCAGTCTAGTGGAGAAATGCAACTCAGAACAAGCAGGTTGTCACTGCTAATATAAAACTGCAACTAAATCACCAAATAGTTACACAAGAAATTTCAAAAGACAGAAAACCAGATGGTCCCAGGTCACCAAAGACAATTGCAGGTGATCGTACATTGCAAAACTGGGTGGAAATTCTGTGAAGATATATTCTTACATGAATTTAAACCTGCTTAACAATTTTTGAATAAGAAAGGTAGAAGGCAAATTGAAGAACAGCTGATTCTATAAATTTAAAAAGTGGAAAATGGGAAATGTAAGGAAAGGGAAGGAAAATCACGCAAAATGTGCAGCCACATTTGGGTTTATCAGTTATTTGTTGCAGTTAGAGATAAACTAAAAGTATTTCAGTTCAGTTCTGGTCCAATGTTGAGAGAGTGCAGTTAAAAATCCATAGCAGTAATAAAGATTATGGTCAAATTTCTATCATGTCTTATTGTTATGCACAAGCATGACTATGATTCTTTTGACTTATATGTTGTGAGTAAGCGCTGTTTCAGGGGTCAAAGAACACCTTTTTTAAACTAAAATACTGTTAGCCATTTGTCATGGTTTCAGAGCCCCAAAATCCAATTCCCTAGTTCTAGCCCCCCTCCTACATCTCAACCCAGTGTGAGATGGGTTTTCCAGACACCACACGAGACTCAAAATGGGGGGAAAGGAATATATTACAAGACTGTACAACAAATAAATAGTATAATACATCATATACAATTTCAACTAACTCTACCATGACATACAGTATTTACAATGGACCAAATCTCTTCTCCCTTCCAAATAAAAGTCCAGGAAGGAAGAAGAAAAAGACCCCTTCCAGTCTCTGAGCAGCAGTCCACTAGGGCAGTAGGCTCTCTGTGTCTTTCATGCAGCAGCAGTTGTTGGATCTTTCCCAATACACACGAGGGAGGCCTCCAAGCCTCTCTCGGCCCCCCGACGCAAATGAAGGGTCTTTCCGTGGGCTGCGTTACCCCAGACAAAGGTTGCTCCACCACGGTCATGTCAACGAAGTGCAGAGGCCTTCGTGACGGTCTGGTATCTTCAGGGGATTCAAGTCCC